CTGACCCCTCCAGGACCAGGACTGGACAGCCCTGCTTTAAACAGACCAGGAGAGACTGCAGACACACTGACTCCTCCATCACCAGGACTCGACAGCCTTGCATTAACTGTACAAGAAGCCTTTTCCTTGCTCTGCAGCAGGTGAAGGTTTAAAGGGACCTGCAAGCCCCAGAGCTGGGCGCCTCTGATTTAAATACACCTCTTTCAGCAGCACTCAGGGCAGAGAACGGATGACATATCTTCACACAAAGGACAGTGGGTTTCTGGAAAACGTTGCCCAAGAGCTCTGTTGAAGCTGATTCCCCTGGATCTTATAAGAAAGGGCTGGATAGGATTTGTGGCTCATTAGCAATCCAATTAGCACGAGGGGCAGAGGGGCCTGCTCACTTTTGTAACTCTTTGTATGCACTTGTGCGCTTGTGAAGTGACCCTCCTGTCAGCTGGGAGAACGTTGTGCAAGTCAACTCATACGCTTCATTCCTCCTTCGCCTCTGCAGATCTGGAAACTCCCTTCTGGGACTATTGGAAAACGCGCATGGCTGCGTCCATCACAGGCCTGACCATGTGGTGTTTGCATGTTCTGCCTCCGGTCTGGTTTTTGAAAGTTCACTCTCGGGGTCATTTCCCGCCTCCCCTCTCATGCGTGAGCCTGGGTCTCGTCTCTCTCAGACACAGCTGGTTTCCAGACACCGGGCACTTATAAAATCCACCTCCATAGCATCGGCTTAAACTTCCTCCTCTAGATGTCAGAGCAGCACATATTTTTAGGGAAAAAATTCAATATGTGGCTAAAATAACTTTAAAAATCCATCAGCCGTTGTATGAAGTTCCATAATTCAACACTTTTATGCCACATAGAGGAACTTCTTGCCGTTTCAGATGGCTATTGGACTTCAAACTTAAATCAATTAAGTTTTTCAGGGGTTCACATACTGTATCTATATATAGGCGCTAACTCCTCGTTGTCATGCATTTGTTGGTCGCTGTGGCGTCCGTCTATTAACGTTGTCCTACCGGGGCTTTCCGCCTTTCCGGGTCGGACCAGTTCAGCGGTGTCGCTCTAAAACCCTTCCGTCTCTCTGCATGCGAAGCCCCAGGACGGGGAGCCGAGGCCGCTGTCCGGGTCGCAACAGCACGAACGACACCACCGACGTCGATCTGTAGTCTTCAGTTCTTTCACTTGGAGAAAAGGTCAGTGGTTTCGGTGTGCAAAATAAAAAAAACAAAAACAAACGAACTAGCTGAACCAATGCCAGGAGCCGTTTTAAGTTACCGCAAAGAGGTGGGCCACGTCATCTGCACCGATGTTTCCTGACGCGTTAAGCCGCCAGAGAAGCTCACCTAATCGGCCTTCACCTGGGCATAAAGCCCCCTCCGAACTTAACTCGCTTTATTAAGGCAGAAAGAAATGTTGTATGTTCACTGTGCTGTCGTCCGATTTCACTGAAGAGCGCGAACACGTTTATTACGAAAACGTGAGAGTAAAACCGATGAAGCCGAGACTTTGAATGATGAAATCAGGAGGATTTTATTCCGGAACTTTTCGGAACACATTTGCCAGCAAAAGAACTCTTCATAAAATGTATTGCTCTGTTAGCTACGACTTGCGTGTCGTCCTGGGATTGTTTTCATTTTGTTTGGCATTACTGTATCTCTCCATTCATGGCTGTGCAAACCAGCAAAGAAATTCTGTCTCTTCTCCCTTAAAATGACACATTCCCTGCGTTTCGCCGCGTAATTCCAAATTCAAATACATTTGGTGTAAACATAGGCTAAAAGCTTTGGAGGCGTCTGACAATCGACCAACAATAACAGTAACAGTAAACCAACTGGATGTGTAAGTTTTACTGACAAAGTCATCATAAATGTATTCCATTGAATATTTAAAGATTAGGCAAAAAAAATATGTACAGTACATGTTTCTGCAGTTTCACATAAAGAATAAAACCCAGGTTTAACCCAGGAATTCTCTACCTTGGTGTTCTCCTTCATATATTAAAAAGACAGTACACATACTCCGTTTATGACTACATTTGTACAGAGAGGAGTGTGATGATATTCTACTGTTGTCAAAGGCAATGCTACTTGGCACAGGACAATATGATTGCATATATATTGTTGGATATTAATGTATTAGCCAATATTGTTCACAAAGTAATTATGTTTTAACACAACACCAACTCCCTCTGCCTGCTCCTCCTCCCTCTCCCTCTCCCTGCCTGCTCCTCTCTCTCCCTGCCTGCTCCTCTCCCCCTCTCCCTGCCTGCTCCTCTCTCTCCCTGCCTGCTCCTCTCCCCCTCTCCCTGCCTGCTCCTCTCCCCCTCTCCCTGCCTGCTCCTCTCTCCCTCTCTCTGCCTGCTCCTGTTCCAGTGTGATGGCAGATCCCCGGAGTCCTGTGTCTGTCCCTGCCAGTGGAGGCACTGCCCGGCCACTGGGGGGCGCTGGCGAGGTGGAGATGGACCCCGTGGAGTTCACCCTGCGGAAGCGGCTCCCGCGCAAGCTGCCGCGCCGCCGCAACGACGTCTACGTCAACATGAAGACCGACTTCCGCGCCCAGCTGGCCCGCTGCCAGAAGCTGCTGGAGGGCGGCGGGCAGCGGGAGATCTGCGTGCACGGCCTGGGCCTGGCCATCAACCGCGCCATCAACATCGCGCTGCAGCTGCAGGCCGCCAGCCAGGGGGCGCTGCAGATCGCCGCCAACACCTCCACCGTGGAGCTGGTGGACGACCTGGAGCCCGAGGACGAGGAGGGGGGCGAGCCGCTGACCCGCACGCGCAACAACTCCGCCATCCACATCAAGGTCTTCTACGGCGAGGGGCACTGAGGGGACTGGAGCGGGCAGGGACGCGCTGACCGGTCCCGCAGGGTCTCCGGTCCTGGGGCATTCTGGCTCTCGGAGGACAGCGCGTTGGGAGATCCCGTCTGCACGCGGTGTTGCACTGATCCGCGGCAGGACGGCCCAGGCTCCTGATCGCCCCTGCGCGCCCCCCCCCCCCAGCTGGTCTCTGAGCAGGTCGTCACTTCTCGGCCGTTGCTGTGGTTTAATGACTGCTGGGACAAGAGCTGACCGCCTGATCACACCGCCGCGCTGCTGGAGAAGGTGCGTGGGTCCTGCTGGGTGGGGTGGGCCTGCGCAGGCCCAGCGCCCTTTCTGCCCCATCGCCCTTTTTCCAGGCGAGAGCCTTGACTCTGTGCCGTGAACAGGACGAGGCTGGAATCTGAGCAGCAGCCTTTCCCTGACGGTGTCGGCCAAGGAGATGCTGTGCAAAAAGAATGACGCTGATAGAGTAGTTTTCATCCCATCGGCAGTCGTGTCGTGTTTCACGTCGTGAGACATCAGCGAAAACGGACTTGCGTTCCGGGTGCGGGTTTGTCCTGAGGGATCCAGGAAGGAGTGGGTGCCTCTGGTCCGCTTGGATTCAGGCTGGAAAGCCAGAGCAGTGAGTCGGACGGAGGAGGGTGACCAGTGCAGAGCTGCAGTGCTTGGCTGTTCGTGTGTATTTCAGCCCCTGGGAGGTCATGGGTACATCCGTGTGGGCACACTTGACACGGGACGGTTGTTTTGTTTCTGATTGTTCCTCTGTAAATAAAAGTCTTTTCTGTTTGACCGAAGCCCCTGGCATCTCTTTGGATTGGTATGTCAATAATCCAACAGTAGGTAAGGCAGATTCCCAAGCCTGCTGCTTGCACTTGCAGACATTTACACCAACAGGTCTGTGGAGGCCAGGTTATACTACAGGATGTCTTTCTGATTTCATCAGTACCATTAGTGCAAGAGCCTCCTTCAGCTGGTAATACCTGGGGTGGAACAGCTCCTGCTGTGCAGTGAGAACCTGATGGCAATCGCTGTAAAACCCGGAGTGGATCAGACTGCTGTGCAATGGGAGACTGATTGACCATACTATAAAACCTGGAGTGGGAGTCTAATTTGTTTGTGTGTGTTCTTTGTGCTTCACCATTCTTTGCTGTAAGCTTCCTTTCCCAGCTGATAATTAACTCAATTACAGTCTTGTATTAGTTCAGGTGGTCAGCATGCGTAGGCTGCAAAGGAACAAGTAATAGGTTTCAGGTGAAGAAGAAGAAGGCTTCACGGCCAAAAATTTTTGTTTTCTTTCTTGTCTTTTCAGCATGGAATAAACCTATTGTTCCTTTACAGTCTTGTATATCCTATGTAATAATTTAATATTATCACTAGGGGGCACTCACGCAGTAGCATCTAGAAGGTCTGCATCTCAATAGTTCATGCAAACATCGGAGGAAATAAAAGTCAGGTCATCCATACCTTTGTAAACTGGCGCTGCATTTGTTAAAAATGAGCAAAACAATCTCGCTCATCCGTAACTTCACATTAACACATCACCATCAGATCTGTAGAGACTGTAAAGACACTCGGTCCAGCTCATCTGTAGCTTCACATTCACACTCATAACCATCAGATCTGTAAAGACTGTAAAGACAGTTTCTGCAGTCCAGGTCCTCTGCAGCTTCACGTTAACACTGTTTTTTGTACTTCACACTGATCCTTTCCTTTCAAACACCTCTGCTTTTGTAGACCTAGGAATAAAAGCAGCTTGTTAGTCCTGTAACTCTGGAACTGCTGAATCAGCAGGTCCCACCCACTTTGGGAAATGAAATACTACAAGAGGATGAGGAACAGGCAGGCTGAATCACCTTTGTACGACAGCAGGGACTGGAACCCACAACCTTCCAGCTGGATCCCCCTCTCTGAACTGGCTTCATCACTCTGTTCTCCTCCCCACTGAGTGCTGGTGTGTGGG